GAGCGTGAGACGCTTCAGTGTTATGAGCGTAAGCGACGCGAATGGAGAGAGTGAATGTGGTAAATGAATCAAAAGTAGATCTACCGAGCACTGAAAATGCGCACTCACTCGGATCCACAAAGGCAAGACGTGGTTTGGCAACTTTGGAATGGATTAGAGACTGACGAAAACTCTTGAAATGCACAGGCTTAAGACAAAAAGTTGCATGCTCCTCTTTTATCAAGATAAGCCACATCTTCATCGATGTTTTCATCAAGCACATCTCCGGTTTTTCTGACACGACCAGAAGTGCAATTATAAGTGCTTTATTATTAGTATTTTTTAATTTTTATTATCATTAACAGTCTAATTCTTTTTAATAAATCCTAGGTAGTGTAAGCAATTTTCAGGTAGAGGAAGTGGTAACCTAAAGAACTGCTGTCTGATTTAATGAAATGTGGAAAATGATTTGGCATTTTTGGTGTCTGAAAACAAAACCTCCGGAGTAGTAAATTGACCACCGTCGCTTGGTTAGTGATGTAAGATAAGCGAATGGGAAAACTTATTATCCGCACAGACTGTAGAATGATGAGTGAAACATGTAGATTTTCCATGAGTAAAATTGGGAAAGGTTGTGATTTGGTAATGAAACTGGACAGCGTCTATCTTGAATCATGGAACAGCGAATCAGCTAAGGCCCCACTCTGAGATAAGCTTAGTACTGANAGCTCCCTACAACAAATGGTCAACGTTGAGGGGTATAATGGACACGAGATAAAGCGAACGATACTACAACCCAAAACCGAACTTCGTGTTCAATTTTTATGATTGATTATCTGTTAATTTTTCACCATCACAAAAAAATATCTTATGGGTAAGTTACTTTAAACAAAATTCCACTTCCACTTTGTTGAGTAGTAATCAATCTGCACTTCTGGGACACGATTTCGGTTGCTGTCTTTTAGCTGGCCATCCGATCAAACAGTGAAGGAAAGGGTAAAACGGAACAAAACGACTAGTGATACGAAAGGGGAACCAGAATTTGTAAAATCCACCCGTGTTTACTTTCACCTAAGAGCGTCACATCTGAACGACGCTGATTAGGTTGATCCTGATGTCCTCAAAATGGAATTATGAAATAGCCTATGTAAGCAAGCCAATAGATCATGGATCACTTGCCTGTAACATACATCATAGTATATCTGTTTCTGTCCAGCCTTCAACCTCTAACTGACTCCAACAACAATAACAACAACAGATAGAGTGGAAGACTATCAGATGATAAACATAACACCTACCACAACCATGGCACCTTAAGATAATGAAGTACTTCTGGTAGTGTGTACCAACGATTACCCGATACACTTTATTTGACTTCCACATTGCTTGTTCGTTCTTTCTATCAAACACGTGTAACACTCTTTACTCAATGTATGCCGATGAAGGTGGGTGGTGAAAAAAATCCAGGATGGTCAAACTAAGACCTGGTACGGTCACGTGAAATCCTTGACCAAAAGAGACTCTCTATTTTCTGCTCATTTATCCAAATGTATAAGGTAAGACGTTTACGTTCTCTACTACCTCGTTATCAAAGTGAGTATAGAAATGTGATGAATTGATAAACGTCAGATTATTTTGCGTTCTAAATGCGGAAAAATTGTGACAATAAGGTACAATAATGTTTAAAAACAATACATCATAAAGTCAACTGAATACTTCAGATCAGACATATTACCACTTGAGACCGTTTTGACCTCACTACCCCTAGATGTAGATAGAGTCACTTATATAATCTTATAGAGCTGAACGTTGATGACCCAAAAATACAATCACTTTTAAATATCAACTCCGGTGAGAGACGACCATGTGGCAATATCTCGATTCATGAAAAGGTACAGTACTGTGCGCCGAGTGACGCTGGGGACATCTCTCGTACCAAACTCCCAAATAACTTCATGATCATGATCATGAAGCCGGCTTAACCTTTCGAAGGAGTCAGCCGTAGTAAAGTAAGTAAGTAGTGCTGTGCGGTCGAGTAATTTGAACTGTATTTCAAATCAAAGAAGACAAAAAATGCCGGATTCCCTTAATTTGTCCAGGTCTTCCGGAATTAGACTGACGGCACAACTACTGTTAGAGTATTCTTTTTGTCATGTTTTGCTCCTATCTGGTGCTCACAAACCCGTGTGTTACTGGAACTGAACCAAAGATGTTTGGGGTATTGCTGATCCAATCAGTAGATGTCATCAACATGATACTACGTTAATGTTTTTTTCCTTTTACAGGAAGATAAATATAGGAGTATGCATGTAAATATGAGTATCTATTAGATTGGAATCATTATTGCCGATCCATGATTAGAACAAAGCACATATTTTGTTAATTTTGGCCTCGTCAGTGCTCAGTTCCCGCCACATATGCTACATTCCTCAAACATACCGAGGAGCAGATATGTTTAGGTAAGTAAATCCCGATTGTAAAATCGCCTTGATAAAGTTTACCTACGGTAACCGAAACGTCGGCTTATTTTCCCCTGTACCGACATCGCTGTGTTTTCAAAATTATAACTTGTGTAAAGTAAATCCAGTCCCACAAAAATAATTCCTTCAAAAATATAATTACAGCAGAATATCACATTACCTAACTAATCCTATATTATGATGAAAGTTATACAAGTATAATATGTTGATTTCTTACCACTGTAAAATTTGATTGTGAAACTTGGATCAGCCGAACGATGGAATTTATTCCGTTTCTAAAATTCATGTTTAATATAACACTCATCTCAATGATCCACACTATCTGTACGAGGCGAAATAAACAGTCGTGGATTTCATGAAAAAAGCGATTCAGTTCTCTCGGCTGTTGTGCACTGAAACTTTGGTTTTGTATTTCCTCTGTATACTACTATTATGTGTTTGTGAAGACATATCTTTGATTTCTTTTTCAAGGTGAGCTCTCTGTTCTTTTGTTCTCTGAAAATAATCCCGAAACCGATGACTGGATTCTGTTTATTTATAACAATAATAATAATACGCTTAGGTTGTATTGATACTTTCTGCATTGCATATATATTCATGCTCGTTCTCATCATCAGCAATCAACGTGTGACGCTAAGAACACGCGACTCCAACCTGATCACCATCTAGTCGAACTCTGGTCCGATTCAATTGGCTAGCATTACCATAAAGAATACCTGCAAAACTCTGTTCAAGTTACGTGCTCTAGGCAATTATTGTCTAGACAATGACTTCCTTTATTCACAGCTATTTATCAACCTCCCTGTCCTGATCGCACGTCATTTGTCATTCCATAGTTCTTATAACTCAGACGGAATCCTTAACTTACTCCTCATGATTTTCAATCTGAACGGCATTGCTCCTCGTTGANACACACACAAATGAAACTGATGAGCAATATTTCAGATGACAGGTCTGTTCGGATCCTGTTATCGGGTGCATAAAGCAAATACTTGACTCGGTATTCTGCGCTCACGTACAACTCG